ACAGCACTGACTAAGCTGAAGGCTTGAACTTTCGGAGTCCAGCCAGAGAAGACATCTTTCTCTTGCAGCATGATAATGCCAGGCCCCACACCAGTTTGAAGACCAAGGAGTATGTTGCCAGTCTTGGCTGGACTGTTCTACCACACCTGCTGTATAGTTTGGTTTGGTGCTCCTAACTTCCATCGTTTGGGTTGATGAAAGAAGGATCCTGTGGGCGACATTTTTCTAGCAGTGATGCTGTTGTAGCGGCTGTGTAACCTCTGCTGGTACAGATGATACCAGATCATCTGAGATACTAGACCATCATCACCAGGTGATGGGGGTATTACTTTCAGAGCGACCTATTAAAAGGAGCAGTATCCCTGGGAGCAGCTGGTAGTTACAACATCTGTCCATGACATGGCTTGAAGCAACTGTGTCTCCTTTCAGCTTATCACGTAAGAAGGCCGTATGTAGCAATTTCTCAGTGCAGTTATTCTTTTGAAGATAACACATTTGTGAGACTGATGGGTTAATGTCAGTTGTTGTGAATGTTTGAACAGGGCATGTTTGCTCATCACTGTCTCTTTGTTTACCTTAGTAGAATGTTGTTGGTTTTCTTTATTTCCATCAGTAGTTCTGATGCATAGACTAAATGGAAACTGAACTAAAGCGTATGTGAAAAAACAGCTTCTTAAGGAGAAAGCAGCATAGTAAATTTTATGACTGCTGTAGAGCATTTCTTGACTGCAGTAATTTTGTAGTGTTCTGAGTGCTGTAATGAAAAATTCATGCAGAATGTTAGAAAAATTTTGTTGCTATATATACTACAGACAGCACTCATACAGTGTCTTTAACAGAGTTTCAGAAGTTGGTATAGACCAGGCTGCCATGAATTGAACGTAAGTCCAGGGAAAAAAAAGTACTTTTTGTTCCAGCCAGTTCTCTCAGTCAGCCTACCACTGGTCGGCTGGTTCATGGCTACTTATGTTGTGATAGATGGGAGGTGAGGTCTGCAGTCAGGAAAGGAAGTAGCATGTTAGTAACGAAAGCAGTTCTTAGGTCCAGAGATGGCACGTGTTAATCTGATGTTGATGTATAGCAGTTTTGCTGTCCCTCTGGCTTAAACTGATGGGATGTACCAAAAGAACACAAGTGATTCAGGAAAGAAAGTTCCTTCTGAAAAATTAAAAACAGGTGTTCTTGTTCCTTCAAACCACTGGGACTGGATTGATGAAGAAACTTCAGCCACTTGTCTCCCTCAGAAATTGATGAGAGTAGCTTTCTGCATGTGGGTTTATGAATGATTGAAGTCTGCAAGTTCCTTGTTTTATCCTGCTTCTAAATGACCTCTGAACTTTTCCAAGATCCTTTATTATATTGCAGAGTACAGTTACAAATTCCTGGAAGTTACCAGCTGTGGTTAACTGCGCTCTACCGATACTTAGAACCTTATGTAAAATTTGCCTTGTTTGTCCACAACAGTAGACAAATAGAAATCAGCATGATGAGTGTACCTGAATGGCAGCCGGGCAGCTGCAATGGCTGTAATCGATCTGTTGGCAGCTGGGAAGGATTCTCTGTGAGGTCTTCACTTATTTCTCCCACAGCTTCCTCAGGTATTTCTAGGTGAAGAGGAAGGGCAGTGTTCCTTGCAGGTAGAGCGAGATCAAGTGGGCATGCCTGAGATCTGTGTGAGTTGAGATGGAGAGTCTATTTTAAGGCCTATGTGGACTCATGGTAATCTTCAGTCAGGGCTTCATTTCCGCCACGGGGAACCTGTGGAGCATCCAGCCTTGTCCCCTGCCCATGGCCTGGCCAAGGAAGGGGGGGACTTGGCTGATGACACTTTCTTATCCTTGAGTGGTTGGCTGTGGTTCTGAGAAGCATAGCAGCTTCCTTAATCCCCTTTTCAGCTGCTGCAAGATGCAGGCTGTTTTGCAAAGGGGAGCAACTGAAAGCTGGTGTTAAATGTCAGCTCATAGCTTACAACATTAATGCTGTGTTGGGTTCCAAGCTCTTTTTCCTTGAGCCTTGGGTACTGTAGGCACAGTGAGTGCTTGTGTCTTGCAGGTTGGGTTGGGAGAGTGGATGTACTGGCCAGTTTCCTAATGTTATTTTTGTGTGCTTCTCCTCACACCTTTGTGTTAAACCCTTTTGTCAGGTAGTTGTGCAGGCAGCCGAGCAGGGCCCTTTTCTTCTTCATTACAATTCACAGATAAGATGCCCCAGATAACACCTTGAATGTGTGTTGTTCAGATTTTGTTCCATCACTGATAGGTTTAGCCAGGAGAGAGGCTGTGACACAGAGGAAGGAGGTCTGCTTGCTGCCATTTTGCTTTTGAGTCCTACCCAAAGCTCTGAAGGGAAGCTGCTGAGAAGAACCCAAATGGGCCTGAAGCAGTATTGCCGCTGGGCTTGACATGGAGTATGGATATAGCAGGTTGCACCCAGGTGCCATCTGTTCACCCTGCCAGAGCCCTACTGCTTGCCCTGGTGCCTGGCAGAGGTTTCAGCTGACAAACTAAAGTGACTTTTGAGGCACTGCATCTGCATAGATCCTGCTTTAAAGCAGTCTCACTGTATTCCTCCATGTCCTCCTCACAGTGGTTAGTGTGTAAAAGCTAAAGCACATGGAGCTGCTTGGATTTATTTTTCCTCTTGTCCAAAACTGCTGCTCTGCTTTGCAAGTCCAGCGGGACCTGCCTTCTGCACCATCTGCCAGAGGAGCTGGGGTGAGGTTGCATTGGAGGAGAAGGGACCACCTAGCCTGTGCCAGCCTCACTGGCATCCCTGCCATGCATCCTCCTGCTAGGTGCAGTACATCTAGGTGCAGAGGGGCTGGCTGTGCCCAGCTGCCAGGGCAGGGCTGTTGGCTTAGCACCAGCATTGTATTTATAACCTACCGGACAAGGCTGGCCAAGGCAGCCACCAACACTGACAGTGGGAAGTGGTTACTTTGTTTTGCAGTCTTTAATTACAGCTGTCTCTGCTCTAAGCAAGTGGGCAGAAAGGAGATGGTTTCTTTGTTTTTCAGTTTGAAAATCTGTTGGTTTTGGCTCAGTGTTCCACACATTAATGTCTCCCTCTTGCATGGCTCTGTGGCTGGTTGATGAGGGGTGATGGTCACCCCTGAGAAGAGACCTAATTCACTGCTGGTCACTGCTGTGAAGTGAGGATGGGTGGGGAAGCAAGGCTGGATGTGGCCACATGGTGTGCCTTTGAGTTTTGGGAACTGCTGCTCCAGCCTAGGCATGCGGGAGCATTGCTGCAGGGGTTAGTGCTTCTAGCCTTCACCCAGCATTTCAGTGAGAGGGCAGAAGGTTTCAGCCCACCTTGTGCCTGATATAAGCATCAGCTCATCACTAGAAGGCTTGAGGCTTGCAGAAACCTCCTGCCCTTGGTGAAAGGAAACTCAACCTTGCTTTCCACAGGGCAAAAGCTTTTTGTTGTCTGAGCAGCGATCCAGCCTGTAGTGAGGTGTTTGCTGATACCACACCACGTATATCAGCAGACAGCCTGCCTGTCTCTGGTAGTGTTTAGATGGCAGCAGGATGAAAGCTGAGTGGCACTGTACCAGTGCTGGTTGTTGCTGGGCACTGGCAATGGTAGAAATGTGATCAAGGGTCGGTTCCATTGTGCTGCAGATTTAAGCAGTGGTGGAATTGGCAATAGTTTCAGCGATAGGAAGAGACACCTTAGAAGTGCATGTTGGCTGAGAATGCAGGGGCTGGGGGATGTGGATGGGAATAGGCCAGAGGAAAAAACTGTAGTGAAGTTACAGGATTTGCAAAGATGAGCTATGCTGTGTCCTTTTACAGAGGAAAGAAAGTGGAATGAAATCAGAGGAGGGAAAGGCTGTCTAGCAAGAGCAATGAAGATGTCCGATATGTTTTGTTATAAAAGAGAATACTTGGAATTTGCACTGATGCATCATGATTGTATCCTCTTCAGTGTCACTGTTCTATCTGAATGAGGAAGCTGTAGCTTAATTCTTGATAAATACAAAGAAGTCATTTCTACCTCCCCTGAAAGTTTGAACAAGCTTTGAAAGAGAGCAGTAACATTTCAAAGTAAGTTAAATCCCAGGGCTTTTTTTCCCCTCAAAACACTGGGAAGATTACTTAAGGAGTAATGTATGCGTTTAAAAAAAAAAGTATGTTTTGCAAACAGAAGTATTTGTGCAGCTTTGCAGAGCAGTCATAATAGCACAGCTGGAGGAGCTCCAGGGGAATCTATAAAAAGGTCTGTGCGTAATTAGTGCTGCCTTTTAAACACACAGAGGGAAAAAATGAGAGGATGCCAGCAAATTAGAAAAAAGTGTACAACCCAAATGTTTGGGATTTGATTTAAATGTGACTACTAGCTCAGTGCAATCCTGTTCTAAATATATATATATATATATATATATATATATATATATATAATGGGTGGGAATTTGTTGCAGTTATCTCCAAATTTAGTAGAGTATGTAACTGTCAGCACTGCTGGCATGCTAGCAAGCAGGAAAGCTTCCTGAAAAGTTTCTGCTTCTGTAGAAAAAGCAATTTCTTTCTGAAAGAAAAAGTAAAGAAGCATGCAGCTCTTCCACGAGGAATCCTGCTTGTCAGGCAGGTCAGCAGGGAGCAGCTCAGTGAGTCCTTAGTGAGTCTTTCCTAAGTCAGGTGGCAAGAGCCACGCTCCATGCAAGGACTGAGAGAGAGGGAAAAGGTGGAATGTGCCTGCCATCTCTTTTGAAGATAATATCTGTGTAGTTTTTCCTCGCATTGTATATTTCCTTGGAAAGAAAAACTTGGAGCTGTTTTTTCAGTTTCTGAAAGCTATTGCCATTTTCCTGCTGAGTCCTCGTAACAAGGTATTATATAAAGCACAAATGTTGCCCCCCTTTTTTTTTCTTCCCAGTTTGTTCTTTTTTTTTTTTCAATTTTTTTTTTTTTTTTTTAAATAGTGATGCTGATGATAGTGTTGCCCTAAAGGATTTGGTCTGACTTCTCCATGATCCATTCTGTCTTTCCCAACAGGTGCTACCGTGGAATACATCCCTCACGGCCAACTTGCAGACACCCACTTAACTTCAAATTTGCGAGCGCTGAGATTGGAGCAGGATGTAGAACCTGCTCAGGAGGAGAAGAAGACTCCTCTGGTAGAAGCTGTTCGGGGAAGGAAGTCCTTTTCTTCTCAGGACAAAACTCTAGCTGCAATTAACCTGACAGATGACCAACTTGCCTCTGGCCTTTATGGTAATAACTGGCTTGCATTCCCCTTTCATCATGCTGCTGAGTTTGAATATGAAACACAGTTTAAAGCAGGCCTTCAGGATTCCTGAAACAGGCAAAAAAATTTGAAGTTATAGGGAAAATGATGCCTTTTTTGTGTCCAGACACTGGTTAAATTTTACATGAAAGAATTCAGTCTGTCAGTGAAATACTATTTAACGCTTTCACAAGGAGAATGTACAACAAGAAAAGGGGTTAATAAAATAACTTCAGAACAGAACTTGAACTTGTATGGAAGTTTTTCCTCTTTTATGTCTACAGATTGGTGTAAAAATTATTTTAGTTAATGCTAAAAATCTAAAAAACCAACGTTAACTAAAACTCCCCAGGCATAGGTTATTGTTACTCATGCTGTTCATACTAATGAGTTGCTTCTGGTAAAGGGCTGCTGTCATTTGACACCAAGAATTAAGATTTTCTTGACAGAGCAGAATAATCCATTTCAGTACTGAAAATCTCCCTCAGGCAGCAAATAAAAAAAAAAAATAACATTTTCTAGAAACATCTTACAGATTGTCAGCGTGTTGGAGGGTAAGAAAGCTAGACTCTAAGCCTTCTGGTTACAGAGTTGGTTTTGAAATGTTCTCTATTTCCAGTGTGCATATGATGCCATGACAGTATATATAAAAGGATCTCAAAGACCTGCTCAGCTGATAAATTAAACAGCAAGCTGTTTGTTTTGAGGAACTGAAAGCTGCAGCCATCAAAGCTGACTGCAGATTTGTACTGAAATATATGCTCTGCCCATCTTTCAACAGTATGTAGTAACAGTGAAAACACACTCAAGTCTATCATGAAGAAAAGGGATGGAAAAAAGGATTTGAGCAACACCAAGAAGAACCTGCAGTTCGTCGGCATTAATGGCGGGTAAGGGGCCTGTCTTAAAACATTGAGTAATTACAGTGCTGTCACACTAGGAAGGAAAAGTCAGTGAGTTTATGCGTGGGTTTTGCCTGTCCTTGCATCTGAGGTACGTCCATTGAGTTTAAGGGTTGGAGGGCAGAACTGAACGCTTCAGCTCATCTTAATCCCCCTGAACCCTCTGCGTGTTTGTGTGTGTGTTATCTAAAGTGGAAGCTGCAAGTCATACATGGGGTCAGTCTGGAGTACTTGCACTTTAGGTCACTGCCAGATTTAGTGGGAAAATAGAGCAAACTCCAAGAGCCACGGGAATGCCTCTCAGTAAGTCAAACTTACGTCTTTGGCAGCTGACAAGTGCAGCATTGTGCTGTTAAACAATGCAGGAAGGAATGGCTTTGCCTAAGAATTAACTTTTCTGGTCTGGGGCTAGATAAATACAGAATCTTAATGAAACAAATAAAGAAACATTACTTCAGCTTTGCAGGATGTTGTAAAGATCTTCAAAGTAGTCTCACCAAGTTGTTTTTATGTAGCTTTGTAAGCTCTTTCCTCAGGTTTTCCTTATTAAAGTGCTTGGTGCTATATATGGCCTAAATATTGCAGTTCCTTCATTTTATTCATATTGGCTAAAAATATTATTACTTCTAGCGGAGGAATGTTGTGGCTCATTTATCACTGTTGTGCATTAGAAAAATAGCCATAGTACATCAATTCATCAGGTCTTACAGTTGGTGAGTTAAAACGGTTCTTTACAGTCAGCATTGTAATTATCCAAATCATTTATTTTTTTGCCAAAAGCATCAGCATGATTTTCATCTTCACAGAAAAAAAAAACAGTTAAGATTATGGCTGTTGTTTTTAGAAGGCTCCTCTCCTACTTGCTTATCAAGGCAACAATATAATTTACTCTTGTTAAACAAGAGTGATTCCATCTGTGAGCTAATGCAAGGGTGACAAGGTGTAAAGACTTTGATTTTAAAAAACTTTTCCTTCTTTTATTACATGTCATGCCCCTAGTAATCACAGTGACAGAATGAAGGGATCTGTGAAGAGATCTCCGTTGTCAGTAACAATTTACAAGTAATCTCTCAGATTAAAAAGAAAAAAAAAAGAATAATTTGGTATTGCTGTTTTCATGTAAGAAAAAGCATGATGACAAGAATGGCTTTCCCCTGCTTTCTCAGTATTCCCATTGCTAGCAGCAAAGGATGTCACGCTGTGTTTTTCACTGTCCCACTGTGGTGGTGTTATAAAAAGGAGCTTTCAGATTGGGGCAGCTTATGTTGATTGTACTTCGTGTGCATTGGTACCTTCTTAAGTGCTTTCTGCAGTGAGTGTCTGGTAGGATAAGCTTTGGGAAAGTTGTTTGACTACCTGCTGTTTCTCAAAACATGAGACAAACAAACAAAAGCCTCTCAAAGCTGCCTTGGTGTTCAGTAAGGGATTAAGTGCCTTTGTTTTTCTGAAAAGAAAACTGAGGGTACCAGATATTACTGAATGCAACTGAACCTGCATTTTGTCCTACCGCAGGTACGAAACTACATCCAGTGATGACTCCAGCTCTGAGGAGAGCTCCTCCTCGGACTCAGAGGAAGAGTGTGATGGCCACGTGTACCCCCATGGCTGTGGTAGGGATGGGGAGCACCCCGTGCTTGGCCCCCCAGAGACAAGTGCTGCAGGGACTGCAAAGGACGGGCCTCCCCTGGAGTGTGAGGCTGAGGAGGTGGAGATCAGGGAGAGGTAGGGTGCGCCCTGCAAAGGTGTGATGGCAAAGAGGGGCACTGGGTTGGTTTAGGTGGCCTCATGTATGTGAGAAGCCCATTCGTTTCAAGCTGGCTGCTTGGTGGAGCTCTGTGAGAGCTGGCAGCCTGTGGAGCCACAAGGGACTGAGCATGGTCCATGCAAGCTGGTAAGTGGAGCATCGCCCAGCCCTGGAAGGGGGGCTGCCAGAAAAGCTCTTGCCTTGCAGCCAGCCTAGAAATTCACATTTCCCCATAATTCTCAGGAAGGTGAATACTTTGATGTTGAAATGCTGAGAGGAGAATTCAGATATGCCATGTATTATGCTATGTGTCTCTCTCAGATACGAACTAAGTGAGAAGATGCTTTCTGCTTGTCACCTGCTGAAAAACAACATTGATGACCCCAAGGCATTGACCAACAAAGATGTGGTAAGCAATACAGAGCAAAATTCTTGCTGTGATACGCAGGGAAATTAAAGGGAGGTTTAGCTTCTTGTTTTATATGGCTGGAACCACTGTGGCTAGACAGAAAAGAATATCTTCTTTCCTGGAGGAGTCACTGAGTGCTTTTTCTATCAGGAGACATTTGTCTAGAGAATGCTTGATGTGCTGCAGTGTCGTTGTCCTAAGGCACGCGCGTAAAAATAGTCATGTGAAAGTGCAGTTCAACACATCCGTGCATTCCTGTGTTATTTCTGTAGTGTTGCTGTAACCCTGCTGCAGATGATACTCAGTCCCCAGACTGGGAGGTGCACAGGATGAGGGGGCTGTTTCTGCCAATGACAGAAGCCCAGGGTCTGTTCTGAACATAAACAAGCTGCCTCTTCTTAAAGACAGATATGCATACTTCCTTCTGTCTTTCTTGCTATGCTGGTAGCCTTTGTGTAGTGTGCAGTAGAGACAATAGAGGATTTGTTGCTTATACTGTCTGAAGAAACAGAGTTGTGTTTGCTGCATAAGGAGTTGCCTGTGCTATTTTCTGAGGATGATCTCAAAGCAAAAAAACATTGGTCACCACTTAGTGATATAAAACTACATTTGCCATCTGCTGCAGTGGTGCTGTGACGTAAAATGCAGGATCCAGTGCCAGTCTCCTTTATTGTGGAGCTTCTGCAGCTTCCCAGAGAACCTAATACTGTGTGTGTATAGTTTGGACACTTATGTATCAGGAACATTTTGAAAGGTGGTTTAATATAGGTGTGAGGGGTAATTTCATCCTGTGTCAGTCCTTCAGGAATAGTTTAGGCATTCAGAGAACAAAGGCTTTTGGGCCCAGTTGGAGTTGAAAGTGTCAAAATTGCATAATCAGGTGATAATCTCTGCCTTCGAAGTGTGATACGAATTTACACATTACTTTTTTCTGCTTAAAGTATTTGCCAACACAAGTGGTGCTTTGTAGCTGGAAATGACAGACTAATCAGCTCTTGTTCTCTGTCTGGCTGTTGATAAAGAAGTCTTGTCCAAAAAGGGCAAGCTTTATTACAGTTAGGAATCTGTCTAAACTTCCCCAGCCTTTTCCAATACTCTCAACACTTGCAGCAGCTGTTTGCGTTATAAGAGCTGAAGCCTGCTCCTATTGGGATGTCATAGATTACTGGAATAAAAAATTGTCCCGTTCAGTTATGCTTGTGATATTGTGACTGCAAAGAATAAATTCCAAGTGATATTTTGCCCTAGATCATTTATGAAATTTAAAAAATAAAAACAGAACCAAGGAAACCCAAAAGTCATACTGTGTCACTTTCTGACCACTTTCATATTTCAACTCATGATATATGTGTTCTTAATTCAAATGAATTGGACCTTACAAGCTTTTAAGAAGGAATACTGATGTAGATGAAAGTAAAATGTTGTGCCTTCGCCAGACATGAGCCTCCTCTAGGGCTGCTGGTACAGATGCTCTCTCTTGTCTCTAGAAGCTAGAGAAGCATGCTGAGTATCTTCTCTGCAGAATTGTTCTTAAACTCATCGGTCACTTTGCAAGTAAGAGTTTATGAGGAGAGAGAATGGACATGGTGATCCTCACATGAATTTCAGCTGCTGAGAAACTGGTTTGGAAAATAAGAGCTGGCTCATGGCGGGGACTGCTGTAGCTAGATGGTTCCCAGCAGACAGCTGTCTGGCCTCCTGCTCCTTCATAACAGTGGGAAAGTTTATCCTCAGTGTCTAACCTGCATCTCTTGTTGCAGCTTAAGTCCATTACTACTTCACTTGCCCATCCTGAAGGTGAAAAACCGGTTCTTCTTTTCTTATTGCAACAGCTTTTTTCACTTTGAAAATGTTACTGTGTTCCTTTCCCTGGTGGTTCTTTCAGCAAAGCATCTCCAGTCCTGACATCTCTTCCATACGCCGGAATTCCTTGACTAATAATCATTTTTGTTGCTTACCCTTGGAACCATTTTGAGCAAATATTTCTTGGTGTTTGGTCATCAGGCAGGATAAGGTCACCCAACAGTTGCATTTGCAGTGTAAGGCAGAGAAAAGAGACTCCATTGCATGCTCTGCAAAATATTAACCCGTTTATTCATCACAAAACAGTGTTTGTCTGTTTCATGGCAGGTTCAATCTATGGTCACCTGCAGTGCTCAGTTCTTGTCTTGCAGAGATTCTGTTCAGCCAGTTCTTCTAGACTTTGTGCATTTGATATAATAGATGGGACTGCACCTTATTGGTTTTGTGTGCTGCTGTTTTAATACCTGCAAAATGTCTGTTCCCTTGCTCTTGCTCATGGTATTGTTCTAGGGGTAACCCCATCCTAAAATACAGTGCCTTTAGAGGTCTATCATGTCTAAAAATGCCATAAGTGAGAGGAGGTGAATTGGTTTATCTTGAAGAGAAGTTTGGTCAGAGGAGAAGCTGCAGTTTACACGTATTGTTTGTGAGCTGAATACTTTCTTCCCACGTTTGACTAAAAAAGGCCTAGACTCCCACATCGCTGACCTGTGGTATGGCAAGTCCTTTAAATGGAATGCCCATATGTAAATTTTTCTGTCTTCCTTTTTGGCAGAGGTTTTGTTTAAATACCATCCAGCACGAGTGGTTTCGTGTCTCAAGTCAGAAGTCGGCTGTTCCTGAAATGGTTGGAGACTACATAACTGCTTTTGAAGAGATTTCTCCTGCTGTCCTCAGACATATCATCAATGTGGCGGATGGAAATGGGAACACAGCTCTGCATTACAGCGTCTCGCATTCTAACTTTGAAATTGTAAAGCTTCTTTTGGATGCAAGTAGGTTGACTGTTGGTGTAGTTTTTTGTTACAGTTCTCACAGGTGGAAGTCTTGATGAGCAAGAGATAAAGTTCAGGCTTCCTCCAGCAGCAAAATATTTTACTATTAATAGTTACATGGTGTCTTGCTTGGATATTACAGAATCCTTGTTTCTGCTGCTGGCTTTGGAAGTGATGGCTCTCGCAGGGTTAATGGAGCACCTAAGTAAACACCACTGGCTCTCAGACTGTAGTCAGATTTAGCAGCATCAGCCTCCAGCATTTTTCTTTGGAAGCAGTGCAGCTGCTGCTCAGCCAAAAGTAGAGTGCTGGTGGGGAAAGATGCATTCAGATATAAACATCCGTGTTAAATACTCAAATCAGTTTTGGCCTTATCTCACTAGAGCAGCACAGAGCTGTTTGTGGCCAACACTGTGGCATGTCTTTACTGCTCTCCTGAGAAATGTTGTGGCAGTTTGCCATACAGGAGTATTTCCCTGTTAGATGAACAACGTGATGATGCCTCATTCTGTTGTTTTTCATTGTTGCTTTTCTCTCAGTCGCCATGCAACACACGTAGTACCACATGTGCTAAACCTGAAGGCAGTGAACAAGAGGTGTCACATACTGGAGCAGATTCTAAGCAGGATGTGATCTGTTTAGGCCTAATTTTGTTCCCTGACTGAAGTTTCTTTCTGAAAGCTAGTTATAAAACTTGTTATGGTTTTCATCTCAACTAGGCCCTGCGGCATGGCTGGATTGAAATGCACTGCTTGTGAGCTGGAAACGTTTACAAATCCAAAAGTGCAGCATTGGATGAACAAGGACCTTAATCATACAGATGTTAGCTTTAAGAAGCTTTAAGAGTCCATCTTGTCTGTCACAGAGGCAAAGGCTTCCTCAGCTGTAAAGCAAACACCACTTTGAAATCCCTGGATCTGTGTGAAGGCGGCCACTTAGAAAGAGTGACTCATGGCAGGGGAATGCAGGGAATGTCAGGGGGACGCTGAAGAGCAGCAGCAGGGCTACAGGGGAGGAAGAGACTGCTCATCTGCTTCAGGAGTCTGTAGGGCAGCTTGAGCATGGTTCTGTTTTGCTGAAAGCCAGGACTACTGTGTTTTGTAGCAGTTGTGTATCCCTATGCAAACAGAAGTTCTTAACAGCAAAATACAACCGTGGCTGGTGTCATGTGCATACTGCAGACATCATCACTTGAAAAATGATTTAAGATGTCTTTCTTTCAGGTTTCAGTCTTCACCTATGTGATGTTTGGTGACCACACTCAGCTTTGCAGTCTGCGTGTAGCACAGGCAGCTTCTTAGCCCAGGAGCATCCATGCACTTGGTGAAAAGAGCAGTTGAGACAGGAGGTACCTGCATCACCAGGCAGCACTACCCAGAAAGTAAATTAGGAAAATACCCTTTCTCCTTTCATTAGCCACACAGAATAGGAGCTGAAATGTGACCTCAGGAAATACGTCTCTGCTGAAGTAGTTTAGTCAGGGAAGGAGAATATAAATTTCAACAATTATTAATTACTCATGAAGTAATATGTGTAGGAGAGTGTTATGTTCTGTGGTTTGAATGGCTTCCCAAGAGAGACTTCTGAAAGGAAGGTTGTGTTACATGTTGCAAGGTAGGACAGGTGATGGTTGTGGAATATGGAAAAATTTTCTTTTCTTAGATCTATTTTCTTAGACCTGCGCTTGAGTGCTTCTGCAATGTTCTTTTCTCTCTCTCTCTCTTTTTTTTTTTTTTTTTTTTTTTCAAATACTCTTGGCAGTAAATCTGAAGAATTTCCTGAAACAGGTTTTCTTGTTGAGGTACCTGTGGTGCTATTTAGTCCTAGATCTAGATATATTGTTTATGTGAATCTGCATCCTTGCTTTCCAATACACTAAAAGCCCTGCTGGATTTCTGCAGACTGCTAGGAACAGAGATTTGGAGGTTAGAAATGACTGAAAAGAACTTTTCAGCGTCTAGTACTAGTCAGATGACTTGCTTGTATTTGTTCCCAGAGCACCTTTTTTTTCAGAGTCAAATACTTGGTGGAGCTGGAAACAGCCTTTAACTGTAGGGTCTTTTCTACGGTTCCAGAAAGTGTCAAAGTATACTTACAAGTCTTTAAAATAGTACCAGTTATAGGAAAAATGTTTGTACTGAGGAGAAGTGGCTTTTCCACTGACCATGTCACTTGGAAGTGGGCTTGCCCTCAGAAGAGGAGCTTAAAGACTCTACTGATTGTGTTCCTAGGATTTGGACCCAGGACCCTGAAGGCTCTGTCAAATTTCAGACTGCTTGTTTTTATAAAAAAACTCTAAATGATGACATATAAAATATCTTTGTGTACTCCTTTGTGTCACACACGTAGTATAAAAGGATCCTTTTCTTTCTCAGGCCCAAGAGCACCCCTGTTGTTTTATTTTTCCCTCTCTACTTTTCCTTGAATCACTTCCATTATGAGAGCAATTGATGCCCTTTTTTTTCTGTAGTAGGCTGCTCTACTAACAGTTTATTCAGTTCATTAGCACAGTTGCTGCTTTTTGGGTTCCTGCTTTCCGAAGAAATTATCTCATCCCTCTGCAGATGTCTGTAACGTAAACCATCAGAACAAGGCCGGCTATACCCCCATCATGCTCGCCGCTCTCGCAGCTGTGGAAGCTGAGAAGGACATGAGGATAGTGGAGGAACTGTTCAGTTGTGGGGATGTGAATGCAAAAGCCAGTCAGGTCAGCCAAATGGTTCACGAGACAGTGTTCCCACTCCTGTGATTTTGTTCTTTTTTTCCTTTCCTTCCACATCCCATTCCTTTCTCTATTGGGATGGTTTGTACGCTCATTCACCCTTCAGATATTCAAATATTTGCTTCTTTTTATATTTGTTGATTTTTTTTTACTCTTTTTTTTAATCGCTTTATACAAAATGGAGCCATGGAATGACACCTGAGCATCAGTGTCTTCTGTAAATATATAAAGAATTATGTGAAAGAGCCATTACAGACTTTTGGGAGGCATTTCTGAATTCTGCAGCATTTCGTTCCTTCTGGGAGCTCCACAAGTCTGGAAATGAATGCAATGTTTTCATTAATTTATTAAATAGCTATGCAAATGTTATGTTATGCAAATGTTTATAAGATGTTCAAATAATGGCAAGCAGAGACCTAATAGTCCTGTACAAAGAAATGCTTCCTGCACTCCCTCCCCCCAGAGAAAGCACAGTGCCAGCAACAACAGCAAAAGATGTGCATGTTTTGCCACTGATTGTCTTTGTGGTGATTTGTTTTCTTGTCATTTTTTACAGGCTGGTCAGACTGCTCTGATGCTTGCTGTGAGTCATGGGCGAATAGATATGGTTAAAGCTTTGCTGGCCTGTGGTGCAGATGTCAATATCCAGGATGATGAGGGTTCTACAGCTCTGATGTGTGCTAGCGAACACGGACATGTTGAAATAGTCAAACTTTTGCTGGCTCAGCCTGGGTGTAATGGCACCCTGGAGGATAATGTGAGTTGCCTTTCCAGATGCTGCTTCATCAGATAGGTTCTCCACTCCAGAATGCTTTTCAGATTTAGTTTTTGGGCTCAGTGGAAAACTGCTGAAGTCTACCGACAGGAACCTCTTGACTCACAGCACCAAAGTACCAAATGTGTGAATTGTGTTTTGTGATAAAAGCTGCTTTGATGTTACCTTTGCTTTTCTAACTGACCTTCTCACTAGCTGTTTTTGTAGGTGCACAGTGACCAGAAGAGAAACCATTTGCTAGGTTATGGTAAAATATCCCTCTCGCTTCCCTTTCTTGTTTCTCAGGAGTCTTCCAATTTTCAAACAGGATTTTATCTGGTGACTTAGTGGCCATGTTGCTTTGTTCTTCTGTGTCATGGCAAGTAGTTCTCACAGGATATTCACTCTGTAGGCACACCACAGCTACTGAGAGTACAGTTTGGGACTGCCACTCATTACACTACATTATTCTGGCAAGAAGCAGATACGGGATATGGCCTCAGTGCCAAGTGGCATGTTTCTTGTTTGCAGATGCCACTACTGTCAACAGACAGAGAACTTGGATGTGTGGAGTTCTCAAGGATGAAAACGTTGGCTTAGTTGGTTTCTGTGTTCTTGTTAACATCGCCACCTTTTGGGTACATTACAGTTCTTCCTGTTGCTCTTATCCCTCAGAACACTGAAGTGGAGCTGGGATTTGTGGGGGTTTGGCTCATTGCTGGCTGAAACTGTTGTAGAGAGGCAGAGACATGACTTCTGTTGATTTTAACTGCTGCATGAGCCTCTGCAACGTAGTTGCAGTGTGCAATAGCTGCATGAGGGGAAAATGTGGAAAGGGGTGTAATGTCAAACCCTTTTTAGGGCAGTCTAGATTAATGTAGCCTTGATGCTGTTAGTACTATTAATGACTTCAATAACTAAAGCATGTATGGAGACATGGAATTTAAGTATTCCAGTAGGCAGCTTGATGCTGTTGCCTAAACACAGCTTGTCTGCCACTTACTCACTGCACAATGAGTTTGTGCTGAGATTTTTAGCGTTCCCCTAGCTATTCTGAATGTGACTGACCCTGCTCCAAACAGTGTGGTAGATAGTGAGCTGAGCTTTGTTTTACTAATGTGCATCACTCTCATAATGGTTTACCACACCACAATAAGTGAGCCTTGTTTTTCCTGGTGTGGGCTGTGGAGTTTTGTCTTGAATTTGTTCTGCGTTATGTCCCGTCTCCCAGATCTGCACAGGACAGTTAGGTTTCTTCATAGTTGCTCCCTGTAGTCTCAAAAGGAGACTTTCCACTTGGATGCTGTTTATCACATCCACGGCTGGAGAAATGGTTTATATCTTCCTTAAACTGGTGATGACCTTTCTGATAACAGCTATAGCAGTGGCTGGAAATGGTGCTGCACTCAGAGAGCCTACGTAAGAGGCAGTCTGTATAAGAGCACTCTGCTTTTAGCAGCTTCAAAGTCTGTGGTTTCTGAAAGAAATAGTACTTCCTGAGAAACTGAGGTGACTGTTTGACCAGTAACATTCATTTATTGGTTTTTAGATTGCCATCATTTAAAGCTGTGCATTTGGAACTATGAGTGCCAGTGTTCCAAGTGTTAATGGCAGTTTGAAAACAACAAGGATTATCATAATACAACAGTTACCATGATATTTGATGAGCACTTATCCCTCTCTTCTCTTACACTCCTGATACTGTAGTTTCTCTCACACCGGTCTTTGAAAATAACAATTCTTTCAGAGCACTACACATAACATTGTGATAATGGCATGCTTATTCCTGCTCAGCAATAATCTCTTCTCCTCATTGAGAGAAATTATGAGACCTCTGACAATTGGATTGTCTCATAAAACAGCAGTGCAAAGGTTTGTTGTCACTTAATTATAAGAAGTTGAGCAAGACTTTAACTCAGCTATCTGAGCGGTAGGATTTCTGCTTCTGTGTGAGCTCTGGGGCTTTTAAGAGACCAGCGAGAGGACACAAGAACAAATTATCTTATTTCTTACCTTTATTTCTCCCAGGATGGCAGCACAGCACTTTCAATAGCCCTGGAAGCTGGACATAAAGACATAGCAGTTCTCCTTTATGCACACGTCAATTTTTCCAAAACCCAGTCTCCAGTAAGTACACAACCCACTGAATTTTTCACATGCAGTTTACACATTAACTTGCTGTCCTGACCGTATTAGTGAAACGTAAGCAAAAACTCAAACCCACGTAATCTGTACAGCACATGAAATTTCAGGTTTATTCCTGGGAAGATTTAATGCTGGTAAGTGAAGCGTACATTTTTAAAACAGACTAACTCCATTAGCCTGATTCCTGGCCAACTCTACCACCTTCTGCCTTGTTACTAGCAGTGAAAGCAGCTCACCATTGGGGCTCACAAATCTGGCTAGCATGCAGAAGTGCTTTTGCATCGTTGTAATGCTAATTATTGTCCTGGTCATGAAAACAAAGCTGTTTCTGGAGTTAGAATTGTCATGGATGTTCTGGTGGATGCCCACTTGTTCTTAGAGGCCTGACTCAACCTCCCAATCAACTATTGCTAAACATTCCACTGTCTAAAGCTTTCACTCTTGGTTAGTTGGTTGTACGATAGCTAGTACTGGTCTTCCAAAAATGGGGAGAGAAAGAAAAGATTAATTGTGCAGTTGAAGGGAAGCAATTGAACAGAGAGCTTTGTGAGTGCTGTTTGGCTGGCTACAGTATTTTCCTTGTGATTAATTGTTCTTTCCTTTTTCTTAGGGCACTCCTAGACTTAGCAGAAAGACATCTCCCGGTCCTACCCACAGAGCTACATTTGAGTAGTGCTGCATGAATACTTATAAAAATCGCAATGCCATCTTCAAGCTGCTAAATTTTACTCTTTTACTGGGACAGATACTGAATGTAATTGTCTTGTGCCTGAACTCACCAGCAAAGTGAAAGCAGAGACCTAGTGCTAAGGATAAAAACCTTAAACTTGAAGCAAGCATATAGTTAGGTAGTACTCAGCTGAGAGCCTTAGCCAGAAGTGTTCTTTTTGCTCACCTGCTCATCTTTCCATACACTGGCATTAATGCTGTTTTTCTTTTAGATTGTCTTTCCCTATGTTATGTACTGCCTAAAGGTCTAAAGCTATCCTTGCAGGGGGGTCCTGGTGGCTTTTTTTAAATTGTTCTAAAACGTTTATGTTTACTGTGCCTAAACCTTATCACAGTAACCTTCTCATAAATTTCATTCCAACACAGTTTTGATGTTTTTAATTATTCTGAAATTGAGAAGTTGCAGTTGCTTATATAGTGAGCTCCGTGAAGCTTGAGCTGGTGGGTGACTGGATTAGATGCTGGGGATAGATCCTCTCGTGAGTTCAGAAGTTCACTAAGTAACTTGTTGCTAATTGGGGATAATGTATAACTTTTATATGAAAGATAATAATGTCTATAAAATTAACTCGCACAGTATTTTCAACATTTTATACTCCTTAATGATTAAAAACTACATGAAGAATTACATGTCACGATACCATATTTTTATTAACTGTGTCAGTGTATAAGCTCCATTCATGTTTATTGGAGAGTAAAATTATAGGTACCAGCTGTGTATTCCCCATGAGTGGAAGTGAGTGTAGTTCTCGGTGCATATTTATGGAATGCTACTACCTTGTCACATTCACTTTAGTCACGTGTATTTAAATGTTTGAAGTGCCTTAGACTCTTGCCATATTTTCAAAATAAAATTTCATTATGCTGTTTTAATCCTCTCCTGTTCTACATATGATTTGTCATCATCCAGAAAATGCTGCAGATTATACATGCAGCAGCAAAACAGGATGGATTGGTAAATCAAGGCAGGGAGGACTGGATAGTTTCAACCCTTGGGGGCTGCTGATGCAGACACCATCCGTGCCCATCTTGGCAGTGTGAAAAGCTTTGCCTAATACACCTGCCTTCACTAGTCTCGTGCCTGCTGTGAAGGCTGGGTGGAGAGACCTGGCCTCTCTGCTGTCCATATGAGGCGTTGTGGGGAGGCAATAAAGAACAGGTGGTTTAACATAGTTCTTTGTAAAGCATTTACCAACTGAATAAAGCCTTTGGGCTTTATCTTCCAAGAGTTCGTGTCTCCACTTAGTAGTCCCAAAGAAGCTCCCCCATTTCAAGACCAGTCAGTTTGTGCTATTGCACGTTCTGTACTTTGTACTTCTCATTCCACTTAGCATCCAATTCTGTGTGGATTCTTAGCTATCTTACCTATCTGCTACTTACAGAGATATGTCACCAGTTGGCCAAATTGTTGTGAAATCAAGGTCCTCCCTCTTACACCAGACTGGCAGCAAAGAGCAGCAGCAGTTAAATAAATGAAACAGTAAAAAATGCTCCATGCTTTGCCGGCTGCACTCAATTGGAGATGGTCGGTGCCTGATGTCACGTGTGCCAGAGCTGGGCTGTGCTCCATGTGCACCTGTCTCTGGTGGCACAAAGCAGCACCCATTGTCACCATGGCTGGGGCCTCAGACCAGCTGCCTCACATCCATAATGCAATAGTGCCTTAGCATCGGGCACATGGAGTGCATGACACCAGCATGGGCTTCCTTACAAATTTCACGCTCATGTTGACACTGGGAGAGCTTCTGGTTCAACAGAATTAGTGGAAGCTTGATCCCTTCCATAGCACTCTCTTGTTAGAGCATGGTAAAGCGAGTGCTTTATCCCCTTGGACATGTCCATTTGTCCCCTTGGACATTGCCATTTTCCCTGCCGAATACATCGGGCATCGGGGTGGTGAGGTGAAGGAGGATGAGCAGTGAGAGCAGATGCTGATGTCTCAGAGCAGGTTGGGTCAGCGAGGCCCAAGCTGTTGGTTTTAGAAATGTTGCTGTGCCACTTCTTGCCACTATCTGGACACCTGGCTGGAGAGCACACCAGAGTCAAGACAGTTTGATCGTGTCCTTAGTATTTTAAGATGTATGCTGTGATGCTGTTAAACAAATCAGCCTGATGAAATGAAAAAGAAGGATGAGTGCTTCAGTCTGTCTCCAGAACACGTTCTAATTAATGTATTTCTGATTTCACAGAAAACACAGTCTATTTATTTATACACGCTTGCCTGAATCTAATGAATTAAATTCCATTTGGAATCCAAATGGATTAAATGGAGAGACATTATATCAACAGGACAGAATCTGGACCAGGGACAGGTTCCTACTTTCTGTTTTACCAAGAGTGTAACTTTCATTTAGCACTGACCAGAAGCCATTTAGTTGTGCTTCCTTAAGGAAATCAGTAATCATACCCTTAACTTTGGCTTTTATCTCATGACAGCAGCTTTAAAGCCTGTTGATCACTCCAAAATTTGACCTTTGTTTTTTGTTTGTTGAGGCATCTGACATCCTCTCGGGTATTGTCTGTTTTGCTGTTGCAGATACCTTTCACAGCAGCGTGTCCACCAGGTTTTTTATCACCAAAAGAGTTTTTCAAACATTATTTTTCGTGCTGCACTGCTACCATGTTTGCATACATGCCTATTCCTATGTAATGTAGCTTGAGGTCGAAGAAAGATTTGAAGCACATGTGAATTTATGTTTCAGAGTAGAGGACTCTGTTAAAATCTGGACCGATGCACGTTCCCATCTCTCCTACCATAAATTAGTGGAAGTCTTGGGCAAGCAGCTATCCTAGAAGGGTTTAAAATAATTGGTTAAGTGATTTTGGTTTCTAATGACAGAGACAGACACACCAAACCTACCTTTATACATCTTCCTTTTTTCCTGAAGGAGTGTGGAAAAAGAACATGTCCCACTATTTTTTTTTTTTTTTTAGGGAAGTGTAGAGAATTGGTATATCAGAAACAAATGTGTTAAGGGATACATTTGTTCAACATGATTATATTGCTTTCTGATGGCACTGGCTGGCAGAAGTGTCAGAAGCAATCTGACTCTTCCAACTGCATGCAAGAGGAGGGCTACAGAAATCAGCCTAATTGGGTTAATTTAGCTATTCCTCTTTCATAAGCAATAGGGTTGGCCTGTAATTGGCCATCTAGAGTTTAAACCTTTAAGGGAAGCCCTGGATTCTGCATTTCTATGCAAAGTCCAGATTCTTCCCAAAGGCTCATTGTCCTGCTCCAAGTTTTATCTTTATGTTGAGGTGGACCATTGTGCCATGTCACCTCAGGAAAATTGTGAAAAGTAACTGTAACTTTGGATGTTTTTATGGATTCAGGTGAAAAGGACAGAGTAAGGGGAGTGCACAAACCTCAAGGAGAATCAGGTGAGGGTTAGGAAAAGGTTCTTCACTAGAGGATGGTGGGCATGGAACAGGCTGCCCAGGACAGTGTGCACTGAGAGATGGAGTTCATGGAGTGTTTGGACACCACTCTCAGATACAGGCTCTGAAATTTGGATTGTCCTGTGCGGAGCCGGGACTTGGACTTGGTGATGCTTGTGGGTGCTTTCCCACTCAGGATAGTCAGTGAGTCAGTGAATGTTATTTCTGGTCAGTGCATGTTATCACAGTCTCTGTTATCTCTCATGTGGGCAGATGCAGTATATTGAGAAGCATAAGCAGTTAAAAAGAAGAAAAGAATACTATTAAAAAAAAAAAAAAACACATTATATAATAATTACTTCCTGTACCATTTGTTCTCTTTGATGGCCCTCTTGTCCCCAGGAGGTTGACAACTGAAGTACCTGACACTGTGAATGTCAATGTTTTCCCCAGTAAACAGTGGGGAGGTTCCCAAAAACAGTTGTATCCTCCTGTGCCCTGTGCCAGCCGAGTTGAATTCCACCTTATAGTGCTGGATAGCATTTATCACAGGTGCTGGGATTAGGGGGTTTACCATGCATACCAGCTTTGAATTGAACTCCCCCCACACACCCTCCCAGGCATTTGTTTTCCAGTTGAGATGAGATGATGATTGACTCTCGGTATATCAAAGCATGATATTGTCTTCACCTTTGAACTCCAAGCCTCAGTGAATACATAAAATCCCTGACACTTTTTCAAGGCTGTAAAGCACTTTACTGTCTTTTTCCAGTTACGCTGTTACACATGAAGTGAAGCTCAGTGCTGCATACAATCACCCTAAGAGATAAAAAGTGAGAGTTATTGGTTACCTGTCTTTATTGGTTACCAATCTTTACATGATGGCAATTGATCTAAATGCATTTTTGCAAGGCATGCTTTCAGAGTTATTATTTTTATGGAACCGGGAGAACTGAAGTTATTCTAGAGATAGACTTCTGTCTGCTCCTCCTGGTGTCTCATGCTTTTGGCTGAGAAGCTGCGCAGCTCTGAGGCCAGTTCAGCCTGGTGTGAGTAATACAAGCCTTGGCGTCAGTTCCTGAAACAGGCCTGGCTCCCTTTGTTGGGATGGAAGCAGCCCAAAGGCTACAGACATCTTTGTGCCTTTGAAACAGCAGCAGCAGAACTGGCTGTGAGCAGCTCTCTGCTGGGCTCTGTCTGCATGCAGGCTTTATCCTTTCCTCCGTTCCAGACCCACTGATGGAAAGATTAACCACAAACCCTTCCCAGTGAAAAGAAGTGCCCAAACTGGGTCTGCATCCCTGGGATGCAGGTGAAATGTGCACTTGGTCTGCCCCTGAGCAGGGAGCAGAGGCAGGAGGTCAGGCAGCAGTGCCAGAGAACATGTAAGGAGAATTTGGGGCTAAGCATTCTGGGAAGTGACGATAATGAGATTAGAGGATAGGGACTCCAAGATTTGGATTTCTTTCATACTCCAGTTGGGAACTGCAGAACTGTTTGACCTCACTCCTGAAGGCCTGGTGTAATGCAGAATGAAGTTAATGAAAAGGTCCCTGCTGACTCCTGCTGAGTTTGGCAGTTGTGATTCTGCACGTCTGTGCTGAACCCAAATGCCTGGTCAGAGTTCAGCTGCCAATTGCTGTCCATTTCTGCCAGTTGCTCCACAATTCACTTGGACAACATCACCCAGCAGATCAGTACCTATCTGCTTCTCTGTAAGTACTTCTGGGCAGGAACGTGCTCTTACTGCCTGCAGAATAGTGACTGTTTGGAAACCTCTGTAAAAGGTATTTTGCAGGAAACACTACAACTACTTTTTTGCAGAGAAGTCTGTAGCAACTTCTTAGAAGAGTGTGTGGAACAACACATCTGTTTCCTGCCAGGTTTTTAGGCAGTGGAGCAACACACCAGATTCAGTGACGCTGGAAGTAGTACTGCCTTGCAAGCAATGGATGCATATATTGGTCAGTGCATCAGATAGTTCTTTGTTAGCAGTGATTAATGAATTCAGTGCCTCAAGAGCTCTGTTGGAAGCGTTCTGTTTCTGCCATGATATGCACCTCCAGCTTTCCACATTAGAGGAAAAAGATAAGCCTGTTTCCGCACACACCCACTCCATGCAGGTCCCTGCAGACTCTCATGAATGTGATGTTCATCAGGAAGAACGGGAGCTTCCAGACAGCACCTGTGGGCACCTTTGCAGGGTCAGCGTGGCACAGGGAAGCATGGTGGGCTTTATCATCTGTGCCATTTCATCCACCCACTCCTTCACCTTGTGCCACTGCCCAGGTGAGTGATATACCTTCCCTTGCCAGTTCTCATTGGACACCGTTTCCGTGCATGTTCTGTTTGGTTAGCCAACACAGCCAGCAACAGCAAAGACAAACTGCCTTTGAAATAATTCTTGCTGTATAAAACTGCCCTTCAGCGACCTCTGCAGTAGAGATCTGTAAATAAAGGCACTATTATACACTTAAGCAGAGTATTATTAA